CTTTCTTTCTCCACTCTTTGGCCTTTCCATCACTTTGGTAGATGTTAATCTTGTTCCAGAACTTTTGCGGCTCATCTCTTTGGCTCTCTCATTTCTTTGTGAATTCCATTCGGGCCTTCCGATTCTTACTGCTGATGAGTGGTTTGCATCTTGTGCTATGGCCTCTATATTTCTGCTCTCAAAGTCTTCTGGATTGTGATACCTTCACCCCTGCCGTCTGGAGGTTGTTGGTGAAGTCACTGACTGTAGTTTTTAGGTTTTTCTTCACAGCTCTCACAATGTCATCAACTGCTGTTTTCCTTGGCCAATCTGTTAGGTGTCATGTTGTTAGTACACCAGTGGTTTCTTTCTTTTTCAGGACATTCCAAATTGTTGTATTGTCTGTGCCTAATGCTTGTGTGATGTCTCTGATCAAATTTTCCCCCTTTCTCAGCTTAAAAATGGCTTTCTTTTCTCACATAGACAGCTCTCTGGTCTTCATGTTGTTTCATCCTTTTTAACAGTAAATGCAGTCTTCACAGGTGAAACCCAGGGCTCAAACCAAGAGTAGACATTCAGAGCTATTAAATGATTAAACAATCAATCTAACGGTGTACACCTGGGCAGCAAGAAACAGCTGTCAGTCACATGTTCCTATATTTTTGATCACTTGAAAATGGGTGGGTTCAAACAAAAGTGCCATGTTCTAAGTTGATTAACATACTAGATGTGCAAAATGTCCAATATTAAGTGTTATTTAAGACTATCTGTTCCTATCTGTTCCTATATTTTCACCTAAAAATTGGGTGGTCTGCCACAAAAGGTGCCATGTTCTAAGTTGTTTAACATATCTACTGTAGATATCAGGAAATGAAAGCTGAAATTCTGAGATATTTTTTGCATATGCATCAATGACCTCAAACCCAAATGTCTTCAATGTATAACAAAAACAAAAGAAGTGGCATTGCTATTCCAGTTCTGTATACTATATTAGTGTACAGTGGATATAAAAAGTCTACACACCCCTGTTAATATGGCAGATTTTTGTGAATTAAAAAAACCTTTAATGTGAAATTGCAAAGTATACAAATAAAGTGAAAAACCATCAGAAACTTTTTAGGGAAAAGAAGAAAAACAAAAAACTTACAATAACCTAGTTGCAAAAGTGTACACACCCCTAATCTAATACCCCTTTTGATTTTATTACGACACTCAGTCTTGGGTAAGAGTCTATCAGCATGGCACATCTTATTTTGGCAATATTTTCCCATTCTTCCTTCTAGATTCTAGACATTCTAGATCTGTCAAATTGTGAGGGCATCTCCTGTGCACAGCCTGCTTCAGGTCATCCTGCAGATTTTGGGTGCATCTCAATCAGCTCCTTAGTTCAGTAGTCAGGGCACTGATCAGGGAGTCAGCCATTTTAAGGGCTGTCTCAATTGCAAACTCCTTCCAGTGCACTGGAACGTTCGCTCCCTAAAAAATCCCACAATGCACTGAAAAAACAGGGAGCATCGATGCTCACTATGTTCCCTTACTGGAAATGACGCCATATTTTACTAAAGCCTCTCAGCTCGAAAAAAAATGGCGGATGATCTCTCAGCCAACTTCGCCTACAAATGTAAGTAGCTTGTTATCATTGTTGTAGCTCTCAAATGATTACTTATGTTAGTAACTTTTAACTTTATTTGACGTTCTACATACAGTTTGAGCCTAAAGACTTTGAAGTGTTTAATGATTTTAAAATATCCACTAGCTAACCCAGGGGTGCTAATTACGTCGATCGCGATCGACCAGTCAATCGCAAGACAGCCATTGGTCGATCTTCTTAATAGGTCAATGTAGAACCCCGGTGTGTGAGAGTGTGGAGGAAGACTCGGGAGACAGGCGGAATTTTTGCTGAGCTCATGTTTATTCAGTCTGTGCTTTTCAGCGCACTTTCGAAAACTCAACAAACCCAAAACAGCTCGACAGAGCTGTGTCTGTCCCAGACACGCAGCTTTCACTCCCTCAAGTTCAAGTTCACGCTTCGAGGCATATGTGTGTGCGTGTGTTCTTGCAAGGTCCACCAACTATATCACACTCTCTCTCTGGTCACGGCAGTTACTGAATGCACAAAGAGACACAAATAAGTAGACTGGCAGTAATATTACACAGGTCAGAATCATCACGCTTTACCCGCCTCCTCTCAGTCCACTGCTGACATTCAACCATGCCCCCGCTGCTGTATATCACTTTTGCTATTTCTTTGAATTAAAATTGATTGCATAACATTATTTGAATAAAAACGTTGTGTCTCTAAATAATTTCTCAAAATTTAGAGTGTACATGCATATTTTACATGGTGACTCTTACCATAATAATAGCATGAAAAAGTAGATCTCTCCTTCACAGAAGTGTGAGCACCCCTGAGCTAGCCTATGATCCTGCTTGAAGTACCATTACAGAAACGCATGTGATTAAGCTATCAAATTTATATGACATAATTTCAGAAAGATATCTGTCTTGCCTGTTGTTGATAAATGCCATTGGTGATGTTTTACAACGCAAGTATATAGTCATGTGCTGGAAATTGAGTTATCAGTGTCCCAGTGTGTAGTGAGCCAGGGTCCTTACCAGTGCCCAAACTCGTGTACACGATATACTGATTCACGACCTAGGGAATTGCACCCGTTTTGCATTGAGATGCACCCGTTTAGTTGGATTCAGCTCTGGGCTCTGGCTAGGCTATTCAAAAACATCAAGCTTCTTTTGGTTAAGCCATTGTTGATTTGGATTTATGCTTTGGGTCATTGTCATGCTGAAAGTTTAAATTCCTTTTCATCTTCAGCTTACTAGCAGACACCTGAATGTTATGCACTAAAAATAAACTGGTATTTGTAGCTATTCATGATTCCTGCAACCTCAATAAAAGCCCTAGTTCTGGCTGAAGAAAAGCCCTAAAGCATGATGCTGCCACCACCATACTTCACCGTAGGTATGTTCTTTTAGTGATTTGCTTTTTTGTACCAAATATACCTTTTGGAATTGGTCTCATCAGACCATAACACATTTTGCCACATGGTTTGGTGTGATTTATTTTTTTTGTTCTCGGATTTGTTGTTGATGGTCTTCATGGTGTTCCATGGTACATCTAATGTTTGGAAATTATTTTGTACCCCTCTCCTGATAGATATCTTTCAACAACTGAGATCCCATAAATGCTTTGTAAGCTCTTTGCGGACCACGGCTTCAGCAGTCAAATGAAAGCAAGAAAATGTCAATAAAATCCTACAGAAACAACTGATATTTATTTGGGTTTAATCAGAACAATTTAATTGATGACAGCTGTATGATAATTACATTTGAACATGAGATTGAATGTGATTGGTTCTGAATACATCCACATCTCCAATTATAATAGGGTGTGCACACTTATGCAACCCGGTTATTGTAACATTTTATTTTTCCCATTTTTCCCTAAAAATGTTTCTGATTGATTTTCACATTTTTATATGTTGTAATTTCACACTGAAGGTGGGAAAAGTTCTGACATGATTTACCTTAATTTCATGTTTTTTTCCATCACAAAAACCTGCCATTTTAACAGGGGTGTGTAGACTAGTTGGAGGCACATGATTGTTTAGAATGCCTTTGTATGCTGTAGCGTTACACATGTTCAACAAGCACATATGGGTGTCATCGCCAGGTGTCCACATAGAGATCTCCAGATGATAGGGTGAATGCAACACCCCCCCCCCCCCCCCCCCCAACACACATATACACACACACACACACATACTTGGGAACCCTTTTTTTGGGAAAACTTTTTCCCCATAGTTCACAATCTTTCACAAAAAAATTCTTCAGGGATCACTAAAGTACTCTATCTATCTGTCTATATCTTTGTGATGAACTGGATGCTTCCACCATAAGATTGGTTTGTGTTTTTGCCTACAGCAATGCCTTTTGCCTTCTGCACCAGAGAGAGGGAGCCATGGACAGAGTTTGCAGAGTCTGCTGAAGACGGCTTCACCACTCACTTCTGCCAAGAGGTTGTGTCTCTAATATTTCTCAGGCTTAGGTAAAAAGGATGACCATGGCTGTGGTAAAATCCAGGCATGGATCATTTCTCCTTTTTCATTTTTCATTTTGTGCCAATGTGCCTCCAATGGAAATAACTGAATTATGACATTATCCAACCCACTCATAGAAAAACTGTTCACATAGTTATTTGCAGCATCATCTATAGATTATGAATATCAACGTTCTGTCACAAGCACACAGTGTTTATGAAAAGGCTTGCAAATCACAAGCTAACATAGTACAGATTTTTTTTCCTTACACGATAGCCGCTCATTCGTCTGTACCATTTTGCAGTCTTTTTTTCTAGGTTTTTTTTTTTTCAGTTTTCGGAGGGTCTGTGTACTTTTGCATTCATACATTATACTATTTTTACATTGAAACAGAAAACCAAAAATGAGTGATTTTATGATTTGTAAAAATGCTATAATCAATGTGTAATGAATAATTGTTCCTTTTTCAAAATATTTGGAAATGTAAATTCAATATTATCTTTTTCCTCTTTGTTATTTGTTAAATTAATGTGCTGAAATCATAAAATTCAAAAATGAAACTGGAATAATGAAAAATATTGATTCTATTAATTTTCAAGGGTACATCTCTGGACTACGCTGTTATAGCCTGGAAGTGATTTAGACCCTTTAACCTATACAGTTGTTCCCTCACCAGCCTCTTTTTTTCCTTAATGAGAAAGTTAATGGCACAAAAAAATGTATGTTATGTTACTGAGAAAATGGAAAGCTTAAACTCCTCTGTCCTGAAGACTCAAGTCTTGCATATGATCCACAACAATGTTAATGACCCATAACAGTTAAAAGCATTAATTCAAAGCATTAGTTCATTAATAAATAAAAAATTGTAATAATTTGCATTGTAAGAGGAATATCTCTAAAATACAAATTCATAAACTACTCAAAATACTTTAATTTGTTATTTATTTAGCCTATGTTATTGCTATTATCCCTGACCAGGAATCAAACCCAGGCCGTGGCGGTGAGAGTGCCAAGGCCTAACCACTAGTCCTCCAAGGACACAAAGATATATTACTTATAACACTGTATAATGTGATTATTAGTGAGTAGTTTCACCCAATAACAGCAGCTTTATAGAATGGATCTATCATGCCACGTTGGCTGCGTCCGAAATCACATACTGTGACAGTACGTACTGCATTCAATTCAGTATCTACTGCTCTGCCGTTGATACAGTACGGCATCCGGACAGCCATGTTGGTATTGTCGTGTGACCTACGACGTCATAGTAACCGCAAAAACTTAAGAGCCCACCATATTAGAGCAACTGTTTTTTTCTGGTTTAAACCTTCAACAAGTTAATCATTTACTCAGGGAACAATGTTTAATACCTATAGCACTTATACTTAAAAAAAGCTGACATGCTGACTTCTACCATTTTTGATTCTGACAGCTCACTGGGCAGTAGTTGATCTTTACCACCATCCACAAATCATATCCATATGCACTGGCACTTCACTTCTATTCATTTTTCCTTTTTCTTCCCTTTTCTCATAATTACTCTTTACAATACTGTATATCCCTGTTCATTTTATCTCTGTTTACAATATTTACACTGTTGACAATGTTTGCACTGCACTGCCACTTTAATTCCACTCAAGTCTGCTGCATATATCTACAATGTTTACACCCCACATCACACTCTTGCACTGTATTCTTTTTATATATATTTATTCTTATTTAATTTCATTTATAATGTTAAATTACTTTTAGCATACTTCTAACTTTCTGTGCTGCTGTAATATCTGAATTTCCCTCTGGGATGAGTAAAGTGATCTATCTATCTATCTATCTATCTATCTATCTATCTATCTATCTAATATGTGTTAAACAACTTAGTACATGGTACCTTTTGTTTGAACCCACACATTTTTCAAGTATATTGGAACATATGACTGACAGGTGTTTCTTGTTGACCAGGTGTGCCCTGTTAGATTGATTGTTTAAACAATTAATAGCTCTGAACACCTACTCTTGGTTTGAGCCTAAGGTTTCACCTGTGCAGACTGCATCTGTTGTTTAAAAGGATAAAGCACCATGAAGAGCTGGCTATAGGAGAAAAGCAAACCATTTTGAAGCTGAGAAAAGAGGGACAATCGATCAGAGCCATTGCACAAACATTGGGCAGACAATACAACTATTTGGAATGTCCTGAAAAAGAAAGAAATCACTGGTGTAGGAACAACTAGACATCAAACAGGTTAGCCAAGGAAAACAATAGCTGTTGGTGACAAACATTGTGAGAGCTGTAAAGAAAAACCCAAAAACAACAAGCAGCGACATCGCCAACAACTTCCATAGGGCAGGGGTGAAGGTATCGCAATCTAGTGTTTGAAGAAGACTCTGAGAGCAGAAATATAGAGGCCATACCACATGATGCAAACCACTCATCACAGTAAGAATCAGAAGGCCAGGTTGGAATTCACAAAGAAATACAGAGATGAGCCACAAAAGTTCTGGAACCAAGATTAACCTCCACCAAGGTGATGGAAAGGTCAAAGTATGGGAAAGAAAGGAACTGCTGATCATGATCCAAAACATATAAGCTCATCGTTCAAGCATGGTGGAGGTAGTATCCTGGCTTGGGTTTGCATGGCTGCTTATGGAATGGACTCACTAATCTTTATTCATATGTAACTCATGATGGTAGCAGCAGAATGAATTCAGAAGTCTACAGAAACAATGACCTAAAACACTCTGCCAACTCAACAAAGGACTTCATCAGGGGAAAGAGTGGAGGGTTTTAGACTGGCCAGGTCAGTCATCAGACCTTAACACAATTGAGCATGCATTTCACCTCCTAAACAGGAGAATGAAGGGAGAAACCCCCAAAACAAACAACAACTGAAAGAAGCTGCGGTACAAGCCTGGAAAAGCATCACAAAAGAAAAATGCAACAGTTTGGTTATGTCAGTGCATCGCCAGCTTGATGCATTTATTGCAAGTAAGGGATATGCAACCAAATATAAAATGTTATTTACTTTGATTTACTTTATCTCTTGCTATACTTTTGCTCACTATAAATTGGCTGGTCTGCCACAAAAGGTACCATGTTCTGAGTTCTTTAACACATCAGGAAATGCAAACTGAAGTTCTGTTCTATTATCTTATATTCATCTCAAACCCAAATGTCTTCAGTGTATAGCAAAACAAAAGAATTGGGCTTGCTGTTCCAGCACTTTCAGAGGGCACTGTATTTTGCGCTATAATTGGTTTACATTTAAAACAGTCTGTTTATTTTTTTTTTAAAAAAAGCTGTTTTACATGAAATGTTTTAATAATGATTCTTTTGTTATAATACGATGAAATGCTTTTTTTGTCTAGTTTTGGAAAATGCATAATTTATGTAAAGCTGTATGATTAAGTGTACTCGGTAATGATATACCACTATTAGACGAGCAAGAGACTTAAGATGGACAAGGGTGAGTTCTGCGGTCATCTTTTTCGAAGACTTGCACATTTTAAACCGTCACCCAGAATAAACAGAACAAACTCTGAACAAACAGCAGTGGTTACACACTCCAAGTAGGAGTAAGAGTCAGTAGGTTTACAGTGGATGGTTCAAAGTGGAATCTTTTGTCAGTGATACATCTATCAATGTTATGCTCAAGCCAGAATGAGCAATACTCCATATATGTTCCAGGGTTGGGTGAAATGTAGAGAACGAGAAGAAAATGCTGGAATTTCTGCACTTAGCAATGCCAAAGATGTCATTAATGTAGCTAGGAAACAGTGCTGGTATCTGTGCAGGAAGCCGTGACATAAGCTTCGCATAGTGTTTTGTGCAATATCTTTGCAGCACTACTGCCTACTGCACTGAAACGTGATATGTAAAATCATGACTATGCTCTGATGCTTGCTTAGCTCCTTACTTTGCCCCTGTAGTGTTTGGCCCCATTATTGCTGCTTGTAGCTATGTTTAGGGGCACCAAGCACCAAAATGTGTTGGCATTTTTTTTTTATTAGTGTTCTTATTAGAGGTCCAAGCATGAAGTGCTGGAACCCTATTGTATTTGTACTGATTTTCTTATTATTATTAGGGGTCTTATTCAGTCCAAGCACTGAAGGTGCATAGGCACCCTATTTAGGGGGCCAAGCACCAAAGGTGTATAAGCACCCTATTGTTATTCTAGGTTTTCTTCTTTTTCTTCTTCTGGCTAGGGTGTCTGTGAATGTGTGGCTCACCGAGTCTGGGTGCTTGGCCCCCGAAAATGCTGCTTGCAGCTTTAATTTTTTTTTATTATTCTGCTTCTTCTTCTTCCACCATTTAGTCTATGGCAGCCCACAGATCATACATCAGACAGTTATGAAATCTGGCACACAGATAGAGGACAGTCTGAAATGTTACCTTAGTAAATTTAAAGTGGCTATTTCAAGCCATCTAGCGCCACCAACAGGTCAAATTTTCACTCATGTTTATGCAAATAACTGGATCCCTGGTGGACTAGTGGTTAGGCCACAGCACTCTTACGGGTTCAATTCCCGGCCAGGGAACCAACCCTAGCCACTGGGGTTGCATGCAACAGTGCGCTCTCAGTGCTGGTCCCAAGCCCGGATAAAATTGGGGAGGGTTGCGTCAGGAAGGGCATCCAGCGTAAAAACTGTGCCAAATCAAATATGCGGACCAATGATCTGCTGTGGCGACCCCTAACGGGAGCAGCCGAAAGAGGCTATATCTTTATGCAAATAACTTTTGAACCATAAGGGGTAGAACAAAATTCTTTTTTTCTCTGATTCCTTGGCTCGTGTCGAGTCGATTACATACCATGGTTTCAATTTTCAGCTTGGATTTTCTGCAATTTTGAAATGCTTTGAAAACCCAATTTTTTGAACTCCTCCTAGACTGTTAGTCTGATTTTCACCAAAATCAAATCAGATCATTGTCAGACCATGCCGACAAAAAATTATGGAATTCAGGTTGATGAGTCAAATTTGAAGGCAAGCATGCAGAAATGGAAATGAGGCTATATCTCCATAACACTTTAGCGTGTTCAGACCAAACTTAGTATATATCATAGCCATCATGACTTGAGGGTACCTGCATGGTTTCAGAACAGTGCCACCTAGTGCTCAACAGATATGTAAAAAAAAACATATTTTTGCTTTTCTGACCAAATTTTCACTAACTTCGACTCAGATAATCTTCAGTCCATGCCAGCAATAAGTTTTGGATTTCATGTTAATATACCAAACCGAACTGTCGGTCTGAAACCAGTGATATACATTTTTCCACAGGAGGTAATTTTGTCTGTACACCATTTTGAGTCATGGCAGAAACCTACTTTTTCTGAGTCCTCGTAGACCATTTATCTAATCTTCACCAAATTTCACATAGATCATCATCAGAGCATGCTGGCAACAAAACTTCTTGATATCTCAAACTGTTTCCATATAACATCTTCAAGCGCCATATAGTGTTTTATGCAATAACTTGGCAAGCCTACTGCCTATTGTACTGAAACTTGATATGTAAAATCATGACCATGCTCTGATGCTTGCTTAGCTCCTTACTCTGTAGTGTTTGGCCCCGTAATTGATGCTTGCAGCTATATTTTTTATTATTCTGCTTCTTCCACTCTTGAAATCTATGGAAGCCCATAGAACTGTACAGTCTGAATTGTAACCATAGCAAATTTGGAGTCGCTATCTCAAACCCCGTAGCACCACCAACAACTCAAGTTTGCACTCATGTTTGTGTTAATAACTTCTGAACCGTAAGGGCTAGAAACAAAATTCTTTTTTTCCTCTGATTCCTTAGATACACCCTATGATGTCAATTTCCATCATGAAAATTTTTCTGCCATTTTGAGTTTTTCTGGAAAACCTACTTTTTTTAACTCCTCCTAAACCTTTCATCAGATTATAACCAAACTCAAATCAATTATAATCAATTATAACCAATCTCCAGACCATGTGGACAAAAATTTATGGAAGTCAAGTTGTTTAGTCAAACCTTTCTCGAATAACGCACAAACAAATTCGAAGGTGAGCACACCGAA